TCTATCTCAACTTATCTTCTTTTTTAATTTTCCAATCTACTTATAAATAGTTACTCCCCAATATTTATATAAAATTTAATCTCAAATCTTTTAATTTAAAATTTACATTTATCCAAATGGACTCTTAATATTTAAGTTTAGTAATATCTCATTGTTGCTTATTATAAAAATGAATAAATAAATAAATTAAAATATTTATTTGGTTAGAGTTTTTCAAAAATATTTTTCAGAAAATTCTAATTTCTTATTTTTCGTGTTTTTTTATTTTTACTAAATTTTTTAATATTTTAAGAAATTTTTTAAATTCTTAGATATACCTAACATAAATATACTTAAAAAGTAAAAAATTTGTGAAAAAAACCTTTTAAAAATTCCCTAAATACCAATAATACAAAAGAAAAAAAAGAAATTTTTTTACATTATTTGTATTTTTATGTATTTATTAATTTTTTAAAATATTTTTTCACAAATTTTTTACTTTTTAAATACATCTAAATAAAGTGCATCTAAAAAAGTAAAAAAACAATGTTTAAAATTTTAAAAATATTTACTAAAAATAAAAAAAATATATACAAAAATAAAAAAACTCAATTTTTAAAAAACTTAATCCAAAAAATTCAAACTAAACACATTAATGTTATCGTTAATTTGTACCCCTCTCCATTAAATTTCTGATTACGCCACTGCTCGTTAGCGTATTAAAAAAAAGAAGGGATTTCGTTATTACTTAATAGAATATTTGAGATTTTTAATATTTTTATTCATCGGTGGATGTTACAGCCGTGGCATTGTGTAGAGTAACGCCTGCATGAACGAACGTTCGAGAAAGTACTAGAACTCTCTCGAACGAACCATCGTGATACCATCTAATTCTCCCTATAAAACCATCACCAACCAACCCTCTCCCACCAATAGCGCAAACCCACACACCCGCTGCATTTTGAAACCGTTTTCCTTTTCAAATTCAATCCTTTTCTTGCTCTCTAGACACTCAACAATGTAGCTGATTCCACACTTGTATGGCCGCCGATCGAACGTTTTCGATCCATTCTCTGTTGAAATGTGCGATCCTTTCCAAGGCTGGCCTTCCAACAACAATTTCCGATCACTCTCCGATCACATCCGCTCTGAAGCGGCGTCGTTCGTGCACGCCAACGTCGACTGGAAAGAAACGCCGACGGCGCACATTTTCTAGGCGGACGTGCCTGGACTGAAGAAGGAGGAGGTGAAGGTGGAGGTGGAGGTGGAGGAAGGAAGAGTGTTGCAGATCAGCGGAAAGAGAAACCACGAGCAGGAGGAGAAGGGGGACACGTGGCACCGCGTGGAGCGAAGCAGTGGAAAGTTCCTCCGTCGGTTCAGGCTGCCGGAGAATGCGAAGGTGGATCAGGTCAAGGCAGCTGTAAAATAAATTGATAGAGAGAGAGAGCAAATGAATAAATGTGTATATTGAATTTGTTGTGTGTTTTTACAAAGGGAGCTTAGCTCTCTATTTATAGACTGATATTGGGCATGCCATGCGAGACGCGAGGCACCGAAAGGCAAGGCTAATGCTTTAGCCGAAAGGAACAAACACAATGATAACAAACGCGCCGAAAGCTAATGTTATAACAATGCTATATTATATACAAAGTATAATAATATACTAACAGCGGCGATGGAGAACGGCGTGCTTACAGTGACGGTGCCGAAGGTGGAGGAGGTCAAGAAGCCTGATGTGAAATCGATTCAGATCTCCGGTTGATTAATTAGTCAGTTGTTCATTCTCTGTTTTTGGATTATTAATTGTGTTTCTATGGTATGAGATGTTAGGGTTTTGCATGTAGAATCAACTGGATGGCACTTGTTGGGATCATAAATGTGAGATTGTTGAAGTCTCTCCCAATTTAATAACTGCATATATATGCATTGTGTGGTTGATTGGATGTATGATTTGCACTATTGAAATGGTTCTGCCATTCATTTGAGACTTCCAATTTTTGGGAGAATTTTTAGGCACCTTTCATTAGAACAGAAAAATACGAAGATAACAGATCGTCGGTGATTCTGAGATTTATGGAAGATCATCATTTTCAAACGTAACCATGGGTGAAGATGAAAAAATTATGAATAACTGATGTCGCTACTATTTAGCAACGACCAATGGAAGCCAAAATAAGATGTATTTGGAATATTATAAAAATTAAAAAATTAAAAATAAAAATAACTAATCTGTTCTGTTTTTGAATGTTAAACATTGTTTTCACCTGAAAATAAAAAAATATATATATTAGGTGTTTTTCAGTTTTTTGTTTGAAAAAAAAAAAAAAAAAAAACGTCGATGGCCTATATTCAGTATTAAGGCCAAGTTTGGCATCTACTAAATAAGTCAAAAAGTCAAAAAGTCACTATCTTATTTAAGTCACATCATCTTATTTAAATCACATCACCTCTCTAACACATCACATCAAACCCAACCCATATAAACCAATAAATCAAAAAGTACACTTTTTTAGAACATCCCAAACCAACCCTAAATTTATATCACCCTAAATTGAATTATCCTTCTTTGAGCCATGGGATGTGATTTGAGTTAACTTTTTAATTTTTTAATTTTTTTTTTTTAAATTATTTTAAGCGGTCGTTCAGAATGTGAGTTAATTTTTTTTTATCTTTTTAATTATTTTAAATTGGCGTTAAAAAGTCTCTTTGTGATAGATTTTTTGATTTTTTTAAATTTTATAAAAAAAAATAAAATAATTATGAGTTGAATGTGATGTTTTTTCTTATTAGATTAAAAAGTTTATTTTGTCTTTTGTAGTTAAAATAATTAAAAAGTCAAAAAACTTAGCAGGCTAAACGAAGGCTTAGCCTGAGATTAAAAAGTTTCTTTTGGAATGATTTTTTTGATTTTTTTTAACTTTTGTGAGAGAAAAAATAAAATAATTATAGTTTGAAGGTGATATTTCTCTTATTGACTTTTTAATTTATTTTATCTTTTTGTGATTAAAACAACCAAAACAGACCGTACCAAACATAGCCTTAGGCTTCATTTGAGAACAAACTATTTTAGTAACTTTTTGATTTTTAATGAAAAGATGTGCAAAAAAGTAAAAAGAGTAATGTGATAATTTATAATGATTTTTTGACTTTTTAATTAAAATAGTTTTTTTCCAAATGAGGCGTAAGTATTTAAAATTACGATAGCCTCGCACAAAACAATAAAATACATTATCAACCCAACCTAATTTCTACTGGATTTTCCATCTTTAGAATAAATCACCCATTCTGAGGGTGAAAATTGAAACAGATCACCAGTAGAGTGCCAACAAAGATGTGGGGTTTGTTTGGTTTATATTTTTTAAAATTTTATTTGGTTCAAATTTTTTTAAAAAAAATTCTAAAATTACTCTCTTTTACATATCAATCAATTTTTTTTTTCTTCTTCTTTTCAATCACTTTTTCTCTCACATACATCTATTTAACTACAACAAAATATCAAATCATCCAAAATTCTCAAATTTCAAAATTATTTTCAAAATATACAATCAAACAAACCAAATAAAATTCAAACTCTCTTCACAAATATTTTTTTTTTCAAATTTATCTCAAAACATAAACCGAACACAACTAAACTTTAGCTTTGTGGTCTGATAGGCCTATTAACATTGCATAAAAAAAAGGACATGGCTTCTGTCTGATCCTTAATCGGACTGGACCGTGCTGTTGGCCTGTGGAAACCCACCACGGATTCCATTTTGATAATCTGAACCGTCAATGTGTAGAACTCGTAGAGTATTATATGCCTGTAAAAAAATCACGTTAATCGGATATTGATAGCTATGTGATCAAATCAGTATTGTATAAAAAAAAATAGACGGTGAATAAATTGACGGTTGATAAAAATCTATTTTGATCACATAACTATCGATATCCGATCAATGTGATTTTTTACAGACATATAATACTCGACGAGTTTTACATATTGAACGGTTCAAATTATCAAAACGGAACCCGTGATGAATCTCCACAGACCCAACAACACAATCCAATCCGATTAAAGATTAGACAAAAGCCATTCTCTTAAAAAAAGTACCTTAAAATAAAAGGCGAATCAGCTTAATTAGCATTAAATTAAATAATTCACTCATGTTGCATTGTCATATTCTTCTGAGCCATAACTTTAATTTTGTTAGTTTTTTACAGTACAAATTATATATGGCGGTGTCTAGCAATAATTTTTTTTTGATTTTTTCTACTAAAAGACAGTTTTTGCAAACCTTAAAAAAAATAAATTCAAACAAAATATCACATTAAATCCCATAATAATTTCATATTTTTTCTCACAAACATCACATCCAATCATAAAAAAATCCAACTATCTTCCCAAAAAAAAAAAAAAAAAAAAATTCTCCAATAATATTCTACAATTAAAAAAACCTACATAAAAACTCACTTCCCAAACACCCACATAGTTAAGCTGTAACTTAATTATGGAAAGAATACCCTTTCACCCAAAATTTGGTACAGCATATTCATTTCTCTTTTATGGGTGTTTATTAATTTCACCACCCAGCTAGTGCAAATTCATACAGGCCTAGGCCTAACCTGAACAATTCAACACTAATTCCTAAAAAAATTTTAGGGTTTGAATAATATATATTGAAACACAAGTTAAGACTTTGACTAAAAACGCAAATTATATTTTAAATATTATTCAATGAAGACTAACAGAGACAGTAGTGAAGAGATACGATGAAATGACGATAGATGAAAGTATTAGGTGACCAAATAGGCCCAGATTAACATTAACTAGCATTGTAAATAGAGATATGAACATACTTAATTTAACTAACGAAATAACCTTTAATAAAACTACGTGAAAAAGACATATTCATGAAACTGACCTCATTTGATGAAATTTAAGACTTGGTTTGGTTGATTTGGGATTTGTCACGTCAACATGCCAACACTAACAGTGAAATTTACCGTCAATAATTTTACAATGAACTCACAACCCCATATTGCTTTGCCATATCAATACTTCTATTCATAAAAGGGCCGTTGAACTTGTTTTTCTTGTTGTAAATGAAGGCAATGTAAAGCCTTCAACAAAAGAGCTTATTCTCACACACACACACACACACACAGATACATACATGTCCAAGAGAGTAGATATTTTTATTTCAGAAAGTCATCATTATCCAGAAATTTCAGATGATTCAAATCCAGCCTGAACCGAAATCTAAATCTGACCCACTCAACCAAACCAAGTACTTCACAAGTCATCTGTATCAAATTTAAATCAAATGGAGGAGTTCACGATGTTCTGCAAACAACAGGTCTACCTTAAGGCCCCCATTTTCTGGACCAACACATTCTTTCAAATGTTCACTGGCAATAAATAACCTGTGAGAGAAAAACAGACAAATACAGTTTTACTACTCTAAACATGAAAATAGAAATCGGTTCTCTATTTTTTTGCTGGTGAATTGCAGCCACTGTTGGCGAAACGATTTATCACCAGCATCAAAACCAAACCACCAAAAAAAAGCCCAAAAAAAAATAGCATCAGCATACCAGGACAGGCCAGAGTACATCACTTGGGATAGAGAATGTCATAGTGACCCGGTCTGTATAGCAAGTTAATAAATGGTTTGGTCTCGGAACCACCACTAGTACAATGGGGGATCACTGAATAGCAGGAGAATGAAATCGTGAGTGATTTAACACGACAGCAACCAGTATCACACGAGCTGCGGTCGAGGTATACAACACGGATTGGCACACCCAATGCGTCTGACACGGCAGTAATGTGCACATGATCACTCTCTTCGCCCATTGGTTCCACAGATGACTTGCAAAACTACATGAAATTAGAATGTCAGATCAGATATGGCTAGAGTAGGGGAAAAACTTCTAAATGTTTTAGGAATGAAGAACCAGGGAACTGCAAAGTTGAATCTTAAACCATATCTGCTGGCATTTAAAAAAGGGCAAATTTCACTTTATCACCTCCTTATCATTTGGAAATAATCACATAACCTCCATGTCGTTTGTGGACTAAAGCACACTATTATCTTTTTTGTCCAACATAATAGGAGGTGAGAACCACTTGCCTATGTGGAGAGTAAGTTTATTTTCAAGACAAAAATACCCGACATAGCTTCAAATTGATAAGAAATGCCATTCTTTTTCCTTTCTCTCTACTATTTCTCTCTCTGCTCCTTTTTATACATAGCCATCAATACCTCCTATACTTGCTGGAAAACATCACAATAGCCATTCAGCCCATATAAATACCCCTGTTGGGCTGTAAAATGAGCTCACATCATTGAAAGTGATTATCCCGCCATCCCCGTTTCTCTTTCTACGTTATAAAAGTAATTCCAATTTAATTATGATAATAATTATACATATATATATGTATAATTATCCAAAAAAAAAAATTATACATATATATAGGTATAACAACGTCTAATTAGTACACATTAATGTGTGTTTGGGAGAATAGAAATTGAGTACACACCTTAACTCCAATAAGTACACATTAATGTGTGTTTGGGAGGGAAAAGATTAAATACACACCTAACCTTTGACATAATGCACAAAGTGGTGACCCCAAGACTTGAACCCATAACCTCAAGATTATTAGGCTAAATCTTAACCGTTGAACCAATGGTCACCCCCATATACATATATATAGCTATCATTGGGTTAAATAGGGCGTTGAACAGATTGTAATTATGCATATATACACATCTATATAACTATTGCTCATGTTTTTTTGTTTGCTTGTTTGCTTGTTTTTTTTTTTTTTTGGTAAATTTTTAAGCAAAGATTAGTTAAACTAGTTATTGAACAGAGGCTCTAAATCAAAACTAATTAAATAAAAAAAAAAGGATAAATTACAAATACACCCCCTGAGATTTGATTAAAATACAGATCGTCTCCTGTAATTTTAAAAATTACATTCCACCTCCTAAGGTTTTTAATTTTATAACAAATCACCCATGTTATTAATTAATCATCAAGTCAATTAACAATTTTTAATGATATTAGAAATATATTTCAATTAATAATTTAAATAATTTTATTATTGTATAGAAGAGCAATTATGAATTTCATTTTTTTAATTAATTCTATTGAATAAAAAATTTCTGACAAGGGAGTATTTGTAATTTTTCAAATCACAGGGGGCAATTGTATTTTAAGCAAACCTCAGGAGTTGTATTTGTAATTTACCCAAAAAAAAAAAATATTACACTGGGTGCAAGTTTGTGATTTGCTCATTGGAAAGTTGTGATTGGATGGTGGTCATTGGGTGGAAATGGCCTGCGGGAGGTGGAGCTCGGCAGCCATGGAAAACAGAGACAAAATCAAAAAAATAAAATAAAATTTGCATTCAGTGGGAATTTGTGATCAAATTGTTGGGAAGTTGTGATTGGGTGGTGCTCGTTGGGTGGGAATAAGCTGTGTGGAGTAGGGATTTGCAGCCATGGGAGGAGGGAGTATACATATACATGTATGTATAGTTTTAATTTTGAAGAGAGGAAGAAGAAGGTATAAAGGTCAATTCGTATGTTCTGTTAACAGAAGTTAATATGCATTTTAGTCATAAATCACATGGGGAGATAATGTGGTTATTTTCAAATGACAAGAAGGTGATCCGTACATTGACCAAACCATAAGGAGGTAAAGTGAAATTTGCCCTTTAAAAAATACTATAATTATGAATGTATGTGCAAAGACATTTGGGTAATTCAGTGATAAATGACAGTTCTAAATTGGTGCCACATTGCAAATACAGCCATACCTTAAAAGTTAACTGTAGATCATTTGTAATGTCATTCTTCAAATTACAAATAATAACAATTCATCACCTGAAGCATTTACTTTTAGTCTAGAGCATAATGTCAAAATCCGGTTTTTTTTTTTTTTTTTTTTTTTTTGTAAAAAATAAATAAAAAATAAAAACTAATCAAACCATCAATAGAAGGCAACATGATAATATGCATGGGATAACAGGAGACATTTGATATGAATAACCATAGAAGTTCAATATATCAAACAAACCTGCTCCACTGTTGTATTTGTTAATCCCAAAATAAATGGCTCAAAGAACTCTGAGCGTTTTCGAATTTCACCAGACGTAACAAATCTGAAGAACATTACAACTAAAAAAAACAACACCACTCAATTAGTACCCATTAATGAGTGAAGAACATTACAACTAACCAAGAAATTTTGTAAGGACAAGTAGAACAAGAAGGAACACATCAAAAATCCATGTGCTTATCTTCTTTCTTTTAAATGCTAGAAACATGCCAAATGTCACTCACCGTAGTCCGATATTGACTGATCTCGACTCCTCTGCATAAGTTCATCATGACTGAAACCAGAACTAGAGGAAGTCATTTCATTCATTAATGGAATTTTTTTTTAAAAAAAATTTAAGATCACACTTAAAAAATTTCAATTCATAGTTCTCAAGAGATATGCAAAGTTTAAAGGAACAGTTAAGTCTCAAAACCTTATAGATGCCTCATTTCCTTGAAGAACACTTTCCAGCTGCTCAAGAAATAACTGAAATTCAAACAATTAAAGATAGTTATTAAAAAATAAATAAATAAAACAGAAAATATTAAAGATTGGATGCACAAAAGGAAAGCAAATACAGAAAAGAAGAAACTGTTGCACCAAATAGTAATAACAATAATAGCATCATCAAAATATTAATAACAATAGCCAGAAAAAAAAAACAAAAAAAAAAACAACAGAATTGGCCAAAAAACAAAAATCCATTAAGATAGCCACATCAAAAAACAAAGATTTTTGCAACATATCAAGATATGTTTGTTTGGAGAGAAAATATCCAATGTGCCAAGAATAAATTAATGTACTTATCAACACAGGAAAGAATTAATAAAAGTAACAAATTACTGCAAAAAAATCTTCAAAGGTAAAGTCTGCATATCCCAAACTCTGAAGTGTCTTTCTGCAATTTTCCACATTGCCTGTAATGCGATTAACTTCTTCTCGGTCTTGTGATTCCAAAATATGCTCCTATTTTGGCAACCCACAACCTTTTAGCAGCTAAAATTACAAATTGACTTATTTTCCCACTAGCAAACAAGCAGAAGATTAGACACCGTAGGACTCCATAAGATACAAATATGAACTATGAAGACATACCAGGTATGAGAACATAAAGCTTCGAAAGAAGCAGTTACCATCTCCCCTTGTCCGCCTGATGGCATCAAATTGTTCGCTAAGCACCTGCATGGATGTTAAAAACAATTTGCAACTAATGAAAAATGGGAATGCAAACTAAAAAATAAACATTGACAAGAGACCTTTATTTTCTCCAGCAAAATAGGGCTTCCTGACTGATACTCAGCAGCCAACGAAGATAGAGGTTCCTGCAGTTCAACATCATCAGCACTTTTAGTTTTAGACAACACATTTATTGACCAAAAGTTGAGTGCCATGAACTTGAAATAATGATAGAAGTTACAATACACCTGGAATTATGTTTTAAATAACATATGGATACAGAAATAGACTGTTGACTTTAAACAAGCTGCCATAATTTTAGTAGTGAGTACTGATACTGCAAACTTTATAAATACTAAACGAATAAAAAATTACTAATCAACTAGAAGATATATATATATATCTAATTCCGAAAATCCTAACTGACAAAATTTCATATCAATCAATAAATTAGAAGTGTAACGAATCCTAAGAAAGACATTTGAGATTGAAGTTTCAAGATAATTACCTGCTGCAACACCATATCCAACCCCCCAGTAGTTAATTTCTTCTTGGTAAGTTAGTGAGTTCCAACTGTTAATAGAAATTTATTCTTTTGAGTTCATACAAACAATACACCGATTCAATCCTTTGAGCCCATGGCATTCACTATTTGGTTATTTAGAGCAAGTACGAGTTGCAGCTTAATGGATAGCAAGGGAAGCTCTAGAGCTCCATGGAAATGCATCTCTCAAGATCTTCCTTATTTAAAGCAGTTTGTTGATTTTAGTGTGGGAAGTGCGAAGTCCATGCAATTTTGGAAAGATGTGTGGAAGGGTGAAGTCTCATTTGTTCTGTTATTCCCTTGATTTTGTCTTATCTTCAGCTCTAATCTCTCGAAACTTTCATTTTTTAGAAATCCTAATGATAGTGAAGCTAATGAGTTGGCATCTTTTTTTATCTATTCTTGATGATGTGTCTTTTAGAGGGGGTGTGTGATTAACGAGTTTGAACAATTCATTCTTCGAAGTGTTTTCATGTAAGTTGTTCTTTACTAAGCTTATTTATGATCCAAAGGGGGTGTGTGATTAACAAGTTTGGACAATTCATTCTTCGAAGTGTTTTCATGTAAGTTGTTCTTTACTAAGCTTATTTATGATCCAAATGTGCTACCCTTTGATGCTCCAAAAATGATTTGGAATTATGTGCCTCTCAAGGTTAAAGTAGCCCATAAAAAGCTATATACTAACGATGTGATTCAAAAAATAAGAGCTAACAACATCTAGTTACCTCAATGGCGTATCATGTGTAGAAGAGATCAGGAGAGTATAAATGAGTTGTGTCCGGTGGCTATGTTTTTGTGGCACTGTCTATTTCAACTTGCAGGTACAGATTGGGTCAATCTTTCCTCTTGCTCTCATATGCTTGAGATTGATTCAGGGATTTTGGCTCCAATTCAAAGGTTCAAGCTCTACAAAGCTACATGATTTGTGTAATTTTTAGGTGCTTCAATCGAAGCATCATGCAAGATATTTGATGATAAGTATGATGGTTTAAGAGGGTTATGGGATAGGTTGATATTTATTTTCTTTTTGGCTGTCCGTCTCCTCCTTTTAAGGAGATTCCATTGTTTTTATTTGTAGTGATCAAAAGGCGGTGAGAGATAATTATTGGGTTCTTTTATCTTCTTTATAGTGGACCTCTAGTTCTCCCCTCTTTCTATTCTTTTTACTTTTTATTAATAAGATTCTCTTTGTTGATGAAGGGAAAAAAATTAAATCTATTTTCTAATGCTACATTTCTTTTTTATTGAAAGGGGTAGGAATAGAGCCCCTAATCCCAGACACCACTGTACCTATGATGATTTGACAAATATGCTATTTGGACACACCTTAGGAAACCTTTGTAGGTGTCTTTATAATTTTAGAAAGCTAATTTGGGGATAATAAAATATATAGAAACAAAGAGGGGGAAAAGTAAAAAACAAAAATACACCCACAAACATTGATGCATTTTGTCTCTATAACTAAATTTATATATTTATATACATAACAAATAAAAATATATAAAAAATATTTTATTTGATGCATTCCCGCCATGTTCGTATCTTATTTTCTTTCAAAATTGCTATGACATGTGTCAGTGTCTATGTCCGTGCTTTTTAGGCTATTACTTTCTTTTTTCCTCTCCAATATCAAAGATTTAGAACCTAGTATTTGATTGTAGTGGTGTGCAATGGTGGTGTAACACACCATCACACCACTATTACACATAATAACAACTTCCATAATGGTGTTTCAAACATCAAATCTTTAGCACCAATATAGCGAGCTATATACTGAATGGCCATGGTTGAAAACATTACATTTTCAACCGTTAGGCCTAGCATCCACACCATCATGATTATTAGCCATTACAATGATTTAAAAAGTTTGTGATGAGTAAAATAAGGCTAAAATCTAACAATATACAATCCAAAACAATAAGCAGAAAACAAAGAAACTAGGGAAACAAATACCACCATTGGAATTCATTGTTTTTCTTTTCTCTTATAGTTGGAATTCATTATATGAGTTACTAAAAAGTAGCTACACTTGACAACACAATCAAAAATATGCAAAGAAGTTTAATAGTGCTTGAGATCTATAACATGCATGGGTTGCTCTTAGTAAAATTCAAAAACCTATTATCAAAACACAGTAAACTTTATAATTCATGGGATTGCACATAGTGGAATTCATTAAAATATCCATAACCAAAAAGTAGCTGAATTTTGACAACACTATTAGAAATAGGCAAATCAATTTATATAGAGATAGAGTATTATAATTCATGGTTTGATCTTACCTTATCACCTACTAAGGGAATCTTCTCAGCTTCCACAGCCCGAATTGCAGATTGCTGCTGCATGATATCATCATCCCTAAAATTTGCCCAATCTTCAACCTCGGTTGCTTGAATGGGTGTTATGGATGCCATTTCTGCATCAGCTTGGAGCCCCTCTTGATTCTGCATCTCTCCTTAGGTCACTATAAACCAGCACGTGCTTGCTCAATCTAACTTGAATGGAATGTGATTACTTAAAAGTGCTTGCTTTAATATGCAATGAACACCTGTCACAAACAGGAAGAGAGGAAGAAATGGAGGCAGCGCATCTCTAGTTATTAGTAAGCATTAATGAATTTTATTTGAAAGCTTAAATGGAATGCAAAAAGTATACCTTTAAGTATAGAATATGGTATGCACAAAACAAAATAAATATAGGGGAGGTGTCTCTAGAAGTATTTTATCTAGAGCATAGACAAACTAAATTTATATCTTTAAGCATGTAAGATGGTTATGCGTGCAGCATATAGAAAATATTGGCGGAGGGGGGCTCTAAAGTATTTTGCGTGCAGCATAGACAAAATAAATGCCCAAAGTTTTCTGGCTTGTTCTTTGAACATCCAAAAACATTCTAATAAAATCTTTCTTCATTTATTCAACATATCAAGCAAATCAAGTTTACTGATCAAGCTTTATGAAGTATAGCACAAATTATCTCATTCGTAAATATCTTGTATTGCACTACACTAGACATATGGTTTGAAAACCTAAAGTATATCTCATAGCATTTTATTTATATTATAATTTATATCTTGTATTCTAACTTGATACCGGTGTTTCATTACAAGCATTGCATATCTAAACCACAGGTCCACATCATTTTGTTTGAACACCATAGTCAATTCGGAGCTAGCAGAGACGGATAGAACAAACCAGTAACAGGAAGAGAAAGGTAAACTTCAGTAATGTACAACTAAAAAAAGTACATTAGGCAACCAAAGCATATTCAGCTTAAGAAAACTTCAAATTAAACTACTTCAGCTTTACTCGGGTAAGACATTTTTGGAGGGATTTAAAAATAATTTAAAAAAACCCAACTTAGAAATCTTTGTTAGACTTCTCAAATCCTAATATTAAAGAGGAATTTAAAGGCCCCAAACATATAAATGAACAAATTTCAAAGCAGACACCTTTTACAAAATGCCTTAAACAAATGAATTGAGAATAAAAACACAAGCACTGCAATTTGTTTGAATACTAATCAATTCATAGCTATTGGACAGGTAGAACAGATTTCAAAATGGGAGAGGAGAGGTAAGCTTCGGTGCATGCAACTAAACAAAATGCGCTCAACATTGATCAACGAAAGCATTTAGACAACATAACTCAAAAAAGGCTCAAATCCAATTATTTAAGCTTATGATTGTCTATTTGTAAATCGAAGCTTCATCATAGGCTATTTGATTTTTTACAATAATTCAACCACACAATGTTTATCAATAGATCCATAAAACCTCCTATAGCCAAATCGAATCTCAACACTTAATTGAACCACAAAAAATCCAACAAAATACACAAATTCAGGGACAAAAAAAATGACATAAATCGACGACTCGTATAAACATAGATACACCAGTCTATGAATCTGTATATGCATATGAAATCGAAGTAGAAGAGCTTACCTCGAGATGTGAAGGCAGATGAAGTGAAAACCCTACGAAAGAGAGATCGAGTTTGGGGAGGTCTAAAACATGGAAGGATCAGAGATGAATCGATGGGAGAATATTGTCATCATCGTCAGTCGACTTCTTCTGCTTCTCAACGAGTGAAGAGTTAGGGCTGGAAAAAGAACAGCTTCTGAAATCGAGTAGAGTTTTTGGCTTCTTTAAACAGATTTTAACAAAGGCTTCAAATATTCTTTAATATTTAATATTAATTTATAAATAAAATAATCTGAAATTAATAAAAAATTGTTTTGTATTTTTAATTTTTTTTATTTATGAAAAACATTTGTTAATAAAAAAAATTGGTGATAAATGCAATGTAAGGAGAGTATAAGTCATTAGATTTAGTGAATATTTTTTTTTTAGTAAAGTTTCACCCTTTGTGAAATAGTTTGTGAGAAATCATTTTCTTGTTTTGAGAGAATATTTTATTTTTTATTTTACCCCTTAATTTATTTGGTGACTTTTTTATCTGTTAACTTTTTTTAACTATCTTTTTAAAATTTATATTTATCTATCAAATTATTTTTTATCTGTTTAAAATTTTTTGACTACCTGGTCAAATTTACATCTATCTGTTCAAATTATTTTCTATCTGTTCAAATTTTTTTTGACTATTTGTTAAATTTGTATCTATCTGTTGAAACATCTATTTGCTGAAATTCATTATCTGGTCAGTTTTTTCACTTATATGTTCAAATATTTTATTTGTTTAAAATGGTTTATCTATTTAATTTTTATATGTTCAAATTTTATCATCTGTTCAAAATTTTAATAGCCTACTTGCCAATATATATATATTTTTTAATTTGTTGAAATCTGCTTCATCATCATCATCATCAACAACAACAACAATAACAACAGCAGAAGAAGAAGAAAAAGAATATCTGAGCCAAGAAAAAAGAACAAAAAAAAAAAAAGCAAGAAACTAAAATTCTCGTTCGATCATTTCATCAAACACCTGCCACGCATCCTCTAATTCATCGCATTTTCCATAGAGTTCAACAAGTTTCATTCTCACTGAACGACTTGAACTCAAACAAAGCTTTAAAGCTTGGGTATGAATCTCTCTACCTTCCTTCAAAGCCAATTGAGACCCATATGCCTTGAGAACTAAAGTGATAACATAGTTGTCAACACATGACACATTCCTCAACCATTTGAGAATATACCTGAATCCCATCAAAGTAAGAACCATATTTTACAAACCCATCAATGAGAGCAGTGTAAAGCTTGATGCATAAAATAAAAAGAGAAAAGAAAGCTTAGATCTCGTACAAGAGCTCTAGATTTGTCTTCGCCGGTGGTATAAAATGTCTAGACCTGTCTTCGAAATATGTAGATCTATTTTTACCACCACATAGAAATGTCCAGATGAGTTGGAGAAGCCAATTCTCCTTAGCAAACCAACGGTGGAGACTTAGTCAGAAGAGAGAATTTCACCGTCTGATCTGGTCAAAACAAGAATTCTGGTCAACACGATAAGAAATTCGTTGATGATTGCACCAATGGGATTGGTTAGGGTTTAGAGGGAGTCGATGAAGTGGCATAAGAGATCGACTACAGTGTGGAAGCATCCATCATAGTAGACTTGAGCTCCTGAGTAGAATCTATAGAGATCTAGGGTTTCAGTAGCGGATCAATGTAGATTTGGAGACAGAGACGGTAGACGGTGGTGAGAAGGGAAAAAACGGTGGTAGCTAATTCCTTATTGAACTGACTCACCCAAGTTGCCAAAACCCTAACTCAATTAGCAACCCTTGAATCCTCATCATGTTCTTTTTTTTTTCTCTCTCTCTCTCTCTCCATTTCCATCTCCATCTCCATCTCCATCTCCATCGCATTTCCCTTGAGTTCTTTGAAGCCTAGAGAGATGAAAATGGGAAATAGAAGAAAAAGTGGAGGCAGAGGCGAAGGCGATGGCGATGGCGATGGCGGCGGTGGTGGTTGTGGTTTACCATTGATGGTCTTCGAAGTTTACCGTTGATGGTCTTCGAAGTCCTTTGTCGCTACATCGAGTCCTACAAGAACAATCATGCCACCATCGACGAAATTGTCGCCTACCTCTACCTGAACTTTTTTCAAGTACAGTTAGGGATGCGAATTTGGCTCTGCCCGGCCAATGTCGAGCCTCGCGAGTTCCCGTTAAAACTCAGGTCAGGCTGAGTTGCCCTACGAGCCAAAAAATTAGGCCTAGGCCCAGGGGTATTCGGGTCTTTAGCGAGCCGACAGACTGGGCATTGGGTCGGACTGTTAGGCCTAGGCTTAGGCTTAGATTGGGTTTGGGCAAGCCTGAATTTTTTTTTTTCAACCAAAATTTTATTATTTTTCACTAAAAATAACACTGGGCCTCGGCGTGGGCCGGGCTTTGAGTTGGCCTTGAGCAGGTCGATGGGCCGGGCGGGCCAGAGCCCAAGCCTAGGGTCTCAAGCCTGGGCCTAACTAGGTCGGGCCCACCCCGAGCTGCGGGCCATTTTTACACTCTTAAGTGTGGTCGATACAAAGGTCAGCATTTCACCAAAACCGTTCAACAGATCCTAGATCACTAAGTCACTGTTACCTCCATTAACTACCACCTCGCTCTCACTGCTACCTATCACTGCTGCGATTCCATCTCCAATCCAATTGTCACAATCCAAAGAGATGTGGCCGATGGTGGTATAGTGGTGGCGGAGGATGTTCGTCGTCGAAGAGGAAAGAGAAGAGAAAATAAAGAGGAGGAGAGAGAGAGAGAGAGAGAGAGAGAGAATAGGTTTTGGGGGAATTGATTTCAACAGATCAAGTATGTTGTATAAAGTTCAACTCCACAACGGGAATAATGGGTCGTTTGGTCATTTTTCAACAACATGTCCTTATAGGCAAAATAATTTAGTGCATGGACCTATAAACCGAAAAAAATTAAAATTGGACTGTTTGATTGAGTCCCTTTGTTAATAAAAATAATAATAATAATTTAAGTTTTTTAATCTCATATTTTAATACAAATTTAGATTAAATTAAATAAAAAATTATCACTTAAAAGTTTTTTAAAAAATCATTAATATCATTTTGATGTGTATTAATGTAACATGGTTATATTTTGTTCCAAACCAAATATGTAACATGGTTATATGTATACTCATCTTATTTATAAAATCGTGGAACTCACGGTATGTCATAGGGAATCTACTTAGCCCAGCTCAATATTTTTAAGATTTGAAACAAATATTTATTTCATAAGGTTGAAAAGGACAAAAATTTTGAGCCTATTTAATTTTTAGGTTGGACTTGAAATAAAGAGTTTTCACTGGGTTTAGCCCGTCCTGCTTATTTAGGTGCCGTTTGGTAACACTTACGTTTTTTTGTTTTCTGTTTATATTTACAAAAATTTAAAAAATTTAAATAAAAACTTGTTTGGTAAAATTTTTGATTTATAAATCAGTAGTCTCAGTTTATAAATTTGGCCAAAAAATGAAAAAACAAAAAATGTGTTTTCATTTTGAGTTTTCAGTTTTTTTTTTTTAAAACAGAGTTTTTACGGCTCCATTAAATTTTGTTAATATTTTAAATTTAAATAATTATTTAAAAGGTTTAAATAATCTAATAGTTCTTTAAAATGGAAAAAAAAAAAAAAAAAAAAGTTCATATTTATTGAGTGAGCTTGGGATTTAGACACTTTTTTAAAGTGGAACTTAGGATGACTAAGTTATGCTCGATGTTGGGTGAGGTTGGACTTAGAACGACACATATGTTTGTCCAGCTCTACTGTATCGTATAAGAAGCCATACCAATGGTGACAAGTTTATGTAACATAATTTGGTGATATATAATGGCCATTAAAAATAAATACTATCATATTTACTTTGGTAAAGTTACGTTAGTCCTTGTGAAGGTCACCTATTCATTTAAAATTAATTACATAATTTTTCTATAATTTATGCACTAAAATGTATCATTATATATTCCGTTCAAATTAACAAGTATAAAATACGAGTTGTGTTAGCAAAAATCTGATTTAGATTAAATCGACAGACATCAAACAAACCAATTTTCACAAACAACAGAATCAAGTAATGTGGTTGAGTGTCTTAATGCCTTGACAGATTCAATGACTTCTTTGGAGGTTATCGACAGAGAGAAATAAACTAAAAATTGATATTGTATTGCTAAAATTGTTACATCTTACAAAGATGTGAACAAGAACAAAAACAAAAACACAAAAGAACCAAAAAAAAGTTTACTGATTTTAGGAACCAGAAACCATCACAGAAACACTAAATTAAACTACGCATAGAGAGAATAAACTACTCCTATGATATGTTAAAGTAATCTACTCCTAATTAAACTCATGTTGAGTGTTGATGTTTTGTTGATGTCTTTCTCTCTGCAAATTCTTGACTTTTATATCTTCTTTCTTTTTCTTTAGCCCATGATCACATGACTCCTTCAAACTTGCAACTTCTTAACTGCTACTGTAACTACCTCCTCACTTCTAAGCCTTCAAACCTTACCAAACCTTCAACTCTTCCTATTGAACTGTAGACGTCCTCGAACGTCCTGGAAGGGAAATCCCCCCCGTTTTGTTCATTAGGCTCACTACAGCTCAGGACTCAAATGTCACGGTCCTGTATCTAATCTCGCAGAGTGCAATACAAAACTGATGAATCATCAAAGAGTCCAAATCCGACAAATCATTTTGGAAAACGGATTTTTTGAAAGAAGTGCCAAACATGGATTGCTTTGTCAGATACAGAGTCGCCACTTAAATATTTTATTTTAGAAAATTTAGGAAACCCTGACTCGTTTGCCTAAGGCCACGTGTCCGTCATCACCAAAGTTGCCTCGGCTCGGGAACTTGGGTACGATTAGGGAAGGTCACTTCGTGAGCACCCCCGCTCGCCTAATCAAAGATCGGCCTCTACTAACCATGATATCGAGTTTTGAAAATATTATGCATTCTTAATCCGGTTATTAGCCTAGATTTACTACGTGATGCACACAGCATACAAGTATAGATTGAATCGCCTGCATTGGAACAAAACACCTCATGTTTGCTTTTGAAACGGTTTGCTACTCGCAAATAGGCTAAAATGCGAATTTGCCACCCTCAGGTGGGCTTAGAAAACATGGTTTTGCCCCTGTCTAGTGGGCTTAAAACTCACAGTCAATGCATTATTCCAATTCAGATA